GATTCAGTTTCCTTTTCTTTCTGTTCTCACTTCTTATATAAAGAGTTGGCTTTTTTTTTATTTCAAAGTTCAGAATTGCAAATATGGCTAATTATGGAGATAAAGGAAGAGGAAAGCTTGTGATTAGGGCCATATTGTTGGGTCTCTATGGAATCATAAGCATTGTGTGTGTGAATGGTACTAACATAAACTACAGAGATGCCCTAACCAAATCCCTCATCTTCTTGGAGGCTCAAAGATCAGGCAAACTCCCTCCTAACAATAGGGTTCCATGGAGAGGTGATTCTGCTCTTGACGATGGCAAACTCGCAAATGTAAGTTTGCGTTATATTTTATCATCCCAAACAAATTTTGTTTATTCAGATATTAGATTTTTATTGAATAGAAGAAACAGGTTATAATAATGAGATAACTATATACATTTCCAGATCGATTTAGCGGGAGGGTACTATGACGCAGGAGACAATGTGAAGTATGGTCTTCCAATGGCCTTCACGATCACAACGCTGGCTTGGTCCACCATTACCTATGAGAAAGAACTCCGAGCCGCGGGAGAACTTGAAAACGCTCGTGCCGCTATCCGTTGGGGCACGGATTATTTCCTCAAATGTGCTTCTCGCAGGAACCGCCTCTACGTTCAGGTATGGATTGTATTGAACCTCATTTTTACACATTCTTTTAATTAATCATAAGTTATTCTAAGTTTGATTTCAAAAGATCCAAAACCCTTGTTTTTACATTTTGAATGAAGAATCCACCCTTTTCATCATTTTACATCATGCATTGAAAGATGAGTGTGATCATTTATTTAATGAAATTTTTGTGCCTATGAATATGATAAAATAGGTCGGTGATCCAAATGCGGATCACCAGTGTTGGGCGAGGCCCGAGAACATGCAAACGCCAAGGACGGTTTTGCAGATAAGCGACCAAGATCCCGGGACCGAGATTGCTGCTGAAACGGCCGCCGCACTTGCCGCTTCCTCCATCGCCTTCCGCCATATCGACCACCAATATGCCCGCCGGCTCCTCAACAAATCCAAATTGGTCTGCTTATTAATTTATGCCTCTTTTATATACAAAGATACTATGTAGTTTTTTATTGATAAGAGAACTAGAGATCTGATCAATATATTTCAAATTCAGCTTTTCAAGCTAGCCAAGAGCCACAAAGGTACATACGACGGAGAATGCCCCTTCTATTGTTCTTGCTCCGGTTACAACGTAAATCTCATCTCTAACTTCTGAAGCATTTCTTCTTCCATATATCAAATCTCTTTTTATTGTCTTTGTTCATAATGTAATTGATGATAAATAAAAAATGTGAAGGATGAGCTGATATGGGCGGCAACATGGCTATACAAGGCAACGAGGAACGAGGTGTACCTTAGCTACCTCAAATTCGAAGCCATAAGTGCTTACGTCGCAGAGTTCAGCTGGGACCTCAAGTACGCAGGAGCGCAAGTCCTCATCGTCAAGGTATATATATATATATTCAAAGTTATAGCTTTTCCTTTTTGGTCGAGACCAATTTATTTATAAATATATTTGTATTTATGCAAATGCAGATGATCTTCGAAGGTATGAAAGGACTTGACATATACAAACAACAAGCCGATAGTTTTGTCTGCTCTAATCTCCCCGACAGTCCTTACCACCAAGTCTTCACTACCCCAGGTCCTCCCTCCATGCATTAACATATATACATTGTTTTATAAAACTATATATATAGATAGGGTTTGATTCACAATGTTTGGTTATAATAATTAGGTGGTATGATTCATTTGAGGGATGGAGCCAACACCCAATATGTCACTGCCACGGCTTTCTTATTCTCGGCCTATGCTGATATTCTACAGCAACACAACCAAAAGATCACTTGCGGAAGCAAACAATTCGATTCAACACACCTCATGGCTTTCGCCAAGAAACAAGTAATATTCTTTACTCTTTTTTTTTTGTTTGGGTCAAAATAATATTCTATGCACGTTTCAGATACTTGAAGTTAACCCTGACGCTATGTTTTCTCTATTCTATGCACGTTTCAGATTGACTACATACTAGGGCATAACCCACAGGGGAGATCGTACATGGTTGGGTTCGGACCAAACCCGCCAAAGCAAGCCCATCACAGAGGAGCCTCAGTGCCGGTGTCAGAAGCCAACGCGCCGCTCAGCTGCCCAATGAGCTTCGTGAAATGGTACAACAAGAACCAGCCTAACGCTAATGAACTCACTGGAGCCATCTTGGGAGGACCCGACCGTCAAGACAATTTCCAGGATCTCCGGTGGACCTCCGTTTACACTGAGCCGTGCACTTACATCAACTCTATCGCCGTTGGTGTTCTTGCCAAGCTCGCTGCCTCGGCTTAGAGCCATGCATACCACATTTGAAACCACTTTGATGAAAAGTATTAATTCTAGGGTTTCCTTTACCTATTATATTTGCATACACATGTGCCGATGCAATGTGACACTATTTTCCTTTTATTTTGCCTTTGTAGGTAGCTTTTTGGAATTATGTTTTCTCCAAAATATAAAAGATTGCATGGGTATAATAATAAGCCCTATTGATTTGAAACAATATTTAAGTGAAACTAATGAATAGCCGGAATGACAAGCTCATTCCGTTTCACGTACATTGTTGTTTCTATACTCTAATTTTGTTTTATATAGAATGGTGTTTTTTGTTAATTTCTATGTAATTTGCATAACATTTTC